GTATGAAGAAATTAGCTTCAGCTTTGGCTTCAATAGTTTAGCCTACCTTCCAAGCTGTAATCCGAGGAATGAAAGCCGTTCTGGGTTGAAGGCACGATATCTTAAAAAAATTGGTAGTGCGAATTAACAAGCTCTGTCTGTTAGAATCCTGTATCCAATAAAAGGAAAACAAATAAAGTGCAAAATGCTCAAAATGTATTTGATGAAACAAACTTGTTCTCTCCATTTCCTAATTTGAACCCAGATACTTCCCTTTCTGTTATCATTGTTATCGTGTTGACATCATGCCTGTTCTAAATCCGATGTTACGTATTTATATATGATGGTGATAATAATGATGAAAATCGTGCGATGAACAGCAGGCGGAGTGACCCTGTATTCACGAAAAAGTGCAGTGGTTTAGTCAGTCACTGGCGTGCTTCGGACCGTATGATCCGAGGTTCGAGCCCCGCCACCGCCACCCGACTTTGGTGGTAGGCAACTCTGCTGTCGTCCGATTCAATACCACGCCTAACTTATCGGGGCCTTATGTGGTTCGCCACTCCAAGTTCCGGGGCTTAGGTTGTCGATTTCAACCACTGAACAGCAGGTCCTCGTGACTATGGGTTTACCCTGTCTGCTGTTCATCACACCTAGATGTGTAATAAAAAAATGAACAAGTATTGCTGTAGAGTCTAAGCGCGAGACAGACTGGCTAGGCTTTTCTGACAAATTCTGAAAGGAACCTCGTTCCAAAGCAGAGAGGAAGACGATGTCGAGATCCGTGGATAAGTTGTCTGCATTTTGGCCGCAACATCAAATCAAATTGAACGCCAAACTTTGGGAACCAAAAGACTAGTTTATCTAACCTGTTTGTAGCTCCTTAGATTACAGAAGTGTTTAAGGCATCACGCCACGACTCGTTGTGATGCTATAGCAGGAATGTGAAGTTTCTTCAAACACATGTTTGAGTAACCATCGGAAACGGTTAAGGGAAACTGATGGGTTGCATGGGGTTATCATAACACAGAAAAAGTCAAAATTGTTCTCAATAAAGCTCTTATAAATGCTATCGACAAAGATCTGACTGTTCAACCGGGAGCCACCATGGTGTATGATGATGTAACCGTTGCCACAGATCCCTCATTAAGTACCGAAAACTAGTCATTCTACGCAGCTGACGGAGTTCTTAACTGGCTTCATGAAGGTGCTCAGTAGTTGTGCAATGGCCATGGACTAATTCAAGAAACAAACCCCGTTTTGTGAACGGGCGGCTTATTACTCTAACGCCGACTTTTTATTTCCCATGGGATGAAGTGCCTGCTCGCATACAGAAAGCTCGATTGGTCTTTGCCAACCTGAGACCTGTGGCGTCGCCGTGACATTCAGCCGTCTGTGAAGGATCGAGTGTATGCAGTTGGTCGGTTCGGCCAGTTCTGCTACACGGCGCAGAAACTTGACCATTACAGGAACAGGATAACCATAGACTGTCAGTGTTGGAACACCGCTGTCTGTGCTACATGAATGCTTGCACGAATCTGGTGGGGTAACCGGACGAGCAATGTTGAGGTTAGGTGAAAATTTTTAATTACTCACCCACTGGGGTAAGTGGTCGACCGCCAGAGATTACGTTGGTTGGGGCATGTGTTACGCAAGTTTCCAAACAGGTTACAAAAGTGCGCGATGTTTTCGGAGGTAAGTAGTAAATGAAAAAAACGGCAAAGGTGGTCAAAATAAGCTCTGGTGTGAGAGTATAAAAATCCCAACCAGAAGAATCGGTTATATAGGTCGTGCTAGGCTCCCTGGATGGGGACCTCGAGATTGTGTTAACAGGTGGTTAAAGACGCTGAGTGTAGCAATCAGTTGCGCCCGTGCGTCTTTTCAGTGTCCTCACAACCTTAGTCTACTAAACTCCTTAATTTTCTCTTCGACTCTACTTTCAACTTATTTGTCTTTCTCCTACTGCTTCATCCAAATCGGTAGCTAAAAGTGATCAACCGGAACAGCCGCACGAGAGTGCAACGGTTAATGGTCGTACAAACTGAAACTGAGTTATCCCATGCAAAAGGGACCAACCAGCCGTCTGTATTTTTTTGGCATCCGATCATTCTTTTGTTTCAAAGTTTGCTTAGCATTGTAACGCTCTCTTTTCAACTTTTTCCTCCACTAGCTAGGAAGGTTACCTTTATAAGTGCAGAGTAAACCCACTGTTTCATATTCCGAAATTCCTTCTTATCCACTCGCAGTTTATTCTCAAAGGATAAGATTTATCCTGTTCAGTTTAACCAAAAATGCGTGCTGTAGTGAAACATACTCCGTGAAATTTATCCCCACGAAGCATCGACTTGAAGGTGATGAAGTGACTTTTATGTATGATTTAATCACTAATTTCCGATCGGTTTCGTCTCCTTGATTTCATCGTAAATCATACAGTCCCAGCTGATCTAATGAAATCTGACATTCTTTGTCTCTTTCTTAAGATCGAAATGCAAAACGGTCAGGAAAACCCTCGAAATCCGGTGGTATTTTCCGTTTCAAAAAATCATTATCCGTTCCCAACTCGTCGGAAGCATTGGATTCATCTGTTGACCGTGATACGTCCACTCCCGACTCAGTGGCTACGTCGACAGAAGAAAAAACACCGATTTCCCATGGCAAGCTGTCTCTAACCATGGACAATGGACAGACTGTGTTGGACGAGATCCCTAACAAAACTGTCGTCCCACGCTCACCACTGCTGTTTCGCCTATTTGAATCCAGTCTGTTCAACATGGACATGGCAATACAGTATTTCTTTCAAACCGAGGAAGAGCATATCCAGGCTTATTTGGGTTAGTTGCCGCGAATTTCCATTTTTCTATTCCTCCCTACCTGCGATATTATCTAGAGCCCTAGGTTTTGCTCTCGCCATACAGTGCTTCTGTTCATTTATTTTCCATGGTAAAAATAAATAGTTACCACCAAAATGTGATCAAATTACGTACCCAACGTGTCCTACTGTTGTGAGATACTACTCAAATTTATGAGTAGTAGTTTTTAGTGCACGTACAGAGAAACGATTGTTGGATTGTGTCGGCATCTGTCAATGGGTTAAAGGATTTATTATTGCAGCAATGGAAAATACAAGGAGACTGTCGGGCTGATGATCACCGATGAAGAGACGTTGATGATAACACTAATCAACTGTTGCAGGTTAGATGTTTTGTTCTCCTAATTAACAGCCCTCCTCAGTCCGACACAACCCTCTGGAATTAGAGCAACCATGTTACTTTCAATCTTCCAGTGTTATCTGTTCGGGCTTGTAGATGTGACATGATTGGTGTCTACGTATGCATGACATTTATTAGTCATACTGGTGCGACGAGGGATATCGTGAACCTAGGCGGAACACAAGTACTGCACATCCGTATCTATCCAGCAAAGCTCGGTGCTCTGAGCTGCTCGGTTCTCGATGTGCACTTTTCTTGACTGCTATTCACAGGTGCTTTCGATATGCTCGCTGCTTATTGTTAAATGGTTGATGGTCAGCCAAAAAAACAGTGGTCGAGCATCCACTTTTACTTTTTTACTTTACTACGACTGGCTCCTTGGAAAGAATAAGCCGGCTCCATGAATGTCTCTGATTGCCGCCGTTCATGCTTGGCGGTTGGCTGCAAGATCCTTGCAAATGTTGATCCACTTGGTTTTCCGTCGGCGGGTGCCGTACACCATCCGAAGGCCATGTTGGTCGACGCCTTCGAATACAGTGTTCAGTCAGGTTTTTACTTGTCCCCCCTGTGGGCGGTGCCATCCAGCACAAGGTGACGGAAACAAAACAATACTTATAAAGCGTCCTCGGGTCTGCGGAGAACATGGTCTAGTCATTGTAGTCGGCAGTGTTGTATGTGCGTTCAACGTGGCAGCAATCTCTGAGGTCCGGGTTTGAAACTCTCTCCCACCAGTTTACTTTCAGGATGAATCAAAGACACCAGTGAGAGAAAACGTCGAATCGTCGGGTGTCCTCAGCGGCCAGGTTTCGAAGTCATATAGTAGGACTGGTCGAACTGCTGTGGTAAGCACCCTGAGTTTGTTTTCGAGACGGATCTCGTTCGGGTCGTGTCGATGCACCACTTTACATCTTCAGCTTGTTCATTAGGCAGGATAGTGGATCCAAGTTACTTGAAGTCCGATACGACTTTTATTGTCCGACCAACCAGTTGCAGGGGATATTCCGCTTGATCAGGTGGAGCAGCGAACGTCGTAGTTTTGTTACGATGAATCTCAAGACCGATCTCAGAGGCAAATATTTTGATACATGCTTCCAGGTCGTTTTTGTTTAGTTTCACAGGTTTGGGGGTTGACAGCAAATAAATACCATTACGGAAAACTTGCAGAGATACCNACCATCTGTCTGCCATGATGAAGTACTCATTTTAAACCGCTGTGTAAGATGCAATTTTCGTATCTTCTTCCGTGATAGGTGTTCTTTGTTACAAATATCGTACAGTTAACTGAGACCCAGTTAATGGAGTTACTTTTTAGGTGATCATTGATTATTCTTTATTCTCTCCATTTACAGCTAAACGGCTTTTCGGCTTTCCCACATCCGATGTGGATTTCTACCTCCTTCAGTTGGTATCCCTCTATCAGAAGTCCAATGAATTAGCCAAACACATTCATCCTTACTTCATTCATCGGTAAGTATATATATATATGTTTATATTTATATGTATATACATATATGTATATATCAGCTGTCAGGTACTAATTATCTTTTGTTTCACTCAACTTTGTTGATGACCTAAGCTTGGTGGGCTCACTCGGGTAAGTGACTGGTTTTCATCGGTAAATTAGTTCAAATTCACGCACATATGAATTATCGAGATCGCGGAACAATCACCAGGTTGCTGTCTGCCATCACTCCACGGAACTTTCCCGGTGGTTCATTATTATTATTATTTACTAACTGCACAAAACATATCCAGGTGAAGCGTCTAACTATTGCAGTACTCATCATCCATACCACATTGGTGGTTCTAAGGATCTGTTTGAGTCTGTTCCCTCTGGTCATTGTGGACCGTTCACAAACGCTTCAGTTTTTCTGTAACAATAATAATAATGGGTTACCTTTTGTGCCTAAAAAAATATCGCGTTATATTGCACCATAACCAACTCTGCTTGCTCACATCTTCCTTTTATATTGACCTGTATGTGTATATCTAGTTGCACGGAATCCACGGAGTTTGCCATTCATCTGGTCTGGCTGTTGGATACATTTTGTTCACTACCTCGTGATGCGGGCAATCGTAGTTCCACTCTGAACCGTCCATCCTCTGTGCCCGCATTTTCACATGCCGCAAGCAATCTGTCCTTGGCCACTTTGGTTCAGACTACTAGCAGCACCGTATCTGGGCCCAACTATGTCCACGGCTCTGACAATCCGAATGGACTAAACAGCCCCGTAGACGGTCTGACACCGAGCGAAGTGGCTCTACTATCCAATCAGATTTTTACGGCACGTCAGTTGCGTACGATCTTATTGCCATCACCGGAGGAATCTCTACTATTTCTTGCCTATCACTCCAAGGCACCCTCGGAGAAGTAAGTCGTATCCTATTTTTAATCTGTCTGCCTCTGTACTCGTATTCACCGATGACAGTCTTTGTGCTGAACTGATGCAATCCAATGGGTTTCGTAGGTACCGCGCAGACTGAACAGCGTATCTCTCACTATCCAACTACAATGACCAAATGTCAGTTGCGCATATGATCCTTTGCAACCTGAGTGTGAAATGCGGTAGATCCCCTCNACACATGCCACTTCCTTAGATGATCTGCATACTGGAACGGGGACCTTAGAGTACATGTAATCGATGCGCAGAGACTCTGAGTGATGTGAACAGTGACACTCGTTTATCAACTCAGTTTAGTCTTAGTCTACCCGAATTCTATGTCTTCCTATTGATGCTCCTTCGAACATTCTAATCTCATCTCTACTCCTTCCTCCAAATGGGTATTTAAAAGCTGGCAACCAAAACCGCCGCACGACAGTGCAGCGGTTAATGATGGTATAAAATGCAACTGAAACAGGATGGCGAGGACTCATGGAAAACCTGTTCTCCGAAGTCATCAGAGACATTCCGAAAACTATGGTTGCTGTTGTTGTTGTTGTTGTTGTTGGTGTTGTGCTCATTCTGTACTGTTTGTTTTTTGTTCTTGCTTCAGACCCACCATCGTTTTGAGCGTGCCTTATTCCAGTCCC